GCCTCGCAACACCTCGGAGGCCATAGCGTCGGCATGGAGACGTGCTGATCGGCGGGCGGTCCAGGCTGACAATGGAATCGTTCTGAGCTGAGCTATCGGCCCTTCCCTACAGTCGAGGCTGATCAGTAGGTCGACCCTGCCAAATCAAGAGTACCTTCGTGTCCTGCGTTTCGCGACCCATGCCTTCTACATTCCTGTGGCAATGTGGCTCTCGGAAGGGTCTTGTGTCCTCTCGCGTGTGCTCTCCAATCGGCCCCGACTGTACTCTGGAGAGCCGCTTCGAAGCCCCACAGCCCAGATAGCCCCGCAGTGGAGATTTATCACTTCTCATGGGCGGGCCTCAGAGCGACATCAGGATGGCGCGGTCGGGGGGGGCGGGGGGGGGGGGGGAGGCGGCGCCTGGGCGCGCGCGGGGGGTCGAACACTGCTGGCGGCGACGGCAGCTGCACGACCCTGCGTGGACCACCGGCGCGTCGCAGGCGCGGTCTTGCGGCTGCTGCAGGCCCGATGGGCTCGCCGCTTCCCGCGACTCCTGCCGCGAGCTGGCGAGGCGCCAGGGTCAAGCGCGCTCGTCTGCTGCAGCGCCCCCGGGGGCGCCTCTCGGCCGTCTCGGAGAAGTCCATCCGAAGAGCCGGCGGCAGCTGTGGTTCCGTGAGTTCCTGAGCTTCGACTCGAAGAAGAAAAAACGCCATAAACATAAGCTTTTGGCGCTCCGTGCGGATGTCTCGGATCTGCGCTGGGCCCAACCGGCGGCGCCTCTGGCGCCGTCCCAGGCGCGCTCCGCGCGCCGGGGAGGGGGGTCCAGCGCAGATCCAAGAAATTCGCGCGGAGCGCCAAAAGTTTATGTTTATAGCGTGTTTCCTTCTTCTATTGATGGGTGGACACCAGACAGCGCCCTTCACCCCGAAGCCATTCCTGTCTCTGGCTGATCTCGCGCGGAACACTGCGCCGCGCGCGCCCAACGCCCCGCGGCGCCCCGCGGGCCCCACCCGATTTCGGGTGCGCCGCGGCAGTCTTCTGAGCGACGGGCGAGGGGCCCAACGACCATCGCGTCTGCGCGCGGCCGCTGTAGAAGATCGGGCCCACTGCTTGCTCGGACGCCGATGGCGCGACTACCTCCGCAGCCACGACCTCCCGCCCGGCGCTGCGCGGTGGCGATCTTCCAGCGGCAGCGCGGCGAACTCTGCAGATTCTCGAGAGCATGTAACATAACAGAGCGCCTCGAGGCAATCGCAGGTGCAGTTTCTTCTCGGGGCGGAGCGTCGAACTGGGGCGTCCAATGTCTGGCCCCTTGCTCGCGTTGACGTGCGACCCGATCGCCCGCACGCCTGCTAACCGCCCCCCTCGCCCGCTCGCTGGTGACTGCCGCTTCAATGGCGGCTGTCTCTCTGCCTCCTGCCCGATCGCCGTCGAAGTCGGGGGCCTCGCGGGAGTGGCCTTCGGGCTGCCCGCTCATGACGAGATGGCCGAAGTTGCGTTGACGTGGGCCCTCTCGAAGCAGGCCTTCGGGGACAGCGTCCAGAGCCTCGGTCGGCGCGCCTTCGACGTTGATGCGCGCCCGCGCGCGCGCGGGACCTGGGCGTCGCGTCCAGCGCCGGCCTCTTGCAGGAGAGCTGGGAACTCCCGGCGAAGATCCCCCCTACAATGTGCGATGGGTTTCGGTCCCTTTTGGAAGCCAAATGCTGTTTTCGCGACGGCGGCCGCGTCCTGCGCGCGAAATTATTCGAGCTGTCGCTTGCGTTCCCTGGAGCGACATCCCATTCTCGGTCGTCCAGGCTTTCGAGGCGCTGCGTCTCCCTGTTCAGGCTGCCCGTTTCCAGGCGCGCAGTCAGGCTGCCCGATGCCGCGTTGCCGAGAGGCCCCGCGCTTGTTTCGAGGGTGGACGGTGGCTGTGCGAGCTTACGGGGGGTAGCGATTGCTGCGTCCTTTGGGTAAGTCATACAGCCTGGATGCAGTACACCCCTACGAGAGCGATCGATACTTACGAATCGATCTGCTATCCCTGAAGCCCCGCGACTTGTAGATGTGTTGTTGCCTTGCGAGACAATCTGAAACCCTGCCCCGTGGCCCATCAATTCGGCGCGCCCAATATTACCGCCGACATGATTGGAATGGATGGTCAGATGATGGTTGTTGTTTTCTGGCGCGTGTTTTTTTTTCAGACCCTCTGTGCGATCCGTAAGGGCTTCGCCCCCTGCCGCCGGTCCCCTCTCTCGAATAATGGGCTATGCAGGAACTAAATCATGAGGCCTCGGCGCCGCCGTGAAGCAGCATCGGCAAGTGCGTAATTTACGAGGGTGTATGGCTTCGTGGTCGCAAAGGTAGCGTAATTTACGCAGGTGTATGGCTTCGGAGACGCGAATATTGCGTAAGTTATGAGGGTGTATGGCTTCGGACACGCGATCACAGTGTAATTTACGAAGGTTGATGGCTTCGGGGTCGCAAATATTATGTCATTTACGCAGGTTCATGGCTTCGGGGACGCGAATATTGCGACATTTACGAGGGTGAACGGCTTCGGGGACGCGAATATTAATTAATTGTCAGAATGGTTTATTGCATCGGGAATGCAAGTATGAGGGTTTATGGCCTCGGAGGCGCGAATATAGTGTAATTTACAAGGGTTGATGGCTTCGGGGACGCGAGCATTCAGTGATTTACGAAAGTTTGTGGTCTCGGGGACGCAAGCATTGCATGACTTACAAGGGTTTATGGTTTCGGGGACGCGAACATGGTATAGTTTGCGAGGGTGTATGGCTTCGGAAACGCGAATACCATGTCATTCACAAGGGTTTATGGCCTCGGGGACGCGAATATTGTGTAATTGACAACGGTGTATGGCCTCGGGGGCGCGAATTTCATGTATTTTTACATGTCCCACGCCCCCACACGACCCGCCCCAGAAATTATGAGACCCCTCCCGGGAGGTGCCAACCAGGGTGTTTTCGGCTCCCCCCCCCTCGCGCGGTCTACAACAAGGAACAATAAGCAACAATAAGCATAATTGTAACAGTGGAAATTGGAAACTGGAACTGGCGCAGGGAACAGCAAACCCTCATCCTACAGCCTGGTGGCCCCACAAGGGGGCCGGCGGATTATTGGCTCTCCTGCGTTTGGTCGTTCGAGTTTGTAAATCGCCCTCCTGGTTTTTCCCGTTCTGTGCAGTTGTGGTTGCGAGGATTGTCTACGTCCAGCTTGGTCGGTAACCAGCGAGGCCCTCGCGCGCGTCGCCTCGCATCTCGACCCGCGTCTTAGCGTGTACCGCCACCTCAAGCCAAGCTCGGAGGGTGCCCTCGCGCACCCGGTTTGACCGCAGACCAGGCGAGGGTCATTTGTTTCGATTGTCAATCGACCGAGGTGCGAGGCGTGGTCGGTCAGGTTGGGCACGCGCCCCTCCCAGGGGCCTCTGCGCCGCACTGTCGCCGGGTTCCCAGCAGGGACGCCGTGGGCCGCCCCGCCCCGCAGGGCGCTCCGTATCTCTCTTCCGTCTGTCCTCCTCCTCCTCCTCCTCCTCCTCCTCTTCCTCCTCCGTCCTCCTCCTCCTCCTCCTCCTCCTCCTCCTCCTCCTCCTCCTCCTCCTCCTCTCTCCTCCCTCTTCCTCCTCCCTCCTCCTCCTCCCTCCTCCTCCTCCTCCTCCTCCTCCTCCTCCTCCTCCTCCTCCTCCCCCTCCTCCTCCTCCTCCTCCTCCTCCTCCCCCTCCCCCTCCTCCCTCCTCCTCCACCTCCTCGGGCTCCTTATCCTCGTCCTCATCCTGGCATGTTGGCCCAGACTGGCTGGGCGCAATGCTTTGCGCGCCCCCCGGGGCGCTCCCCCCTCTCCCTGCCGCGGCGGTCGCGGAGGGTCTTGCGCTGCTTCGGGCTCGGATTCTGGCAGGACGGGTGGTGCCTTTCAGCGCTGTCGGGCAGGAGGCTCGGAAGATGCGCCTCCTCGTCACTGTGCAGGCTGCTCCTGGAGCGGTTCCTGCGGCACTTCGGCGTCGACTTCCCCGCGCTGTCGAGGCGGCTGACGTCGCCTGCCGCCCATGGGCCACCGCCGGCAGGGGCCACAGGTTACGTTCAGCAGTGGCATTTTGTGAAGGCGCCCCCTGGTGGTGATGGTGAACACGGAAATGGTCATGACCCTGGCCCTCGGTGGCGTCGTCCTGAAACGCGTGATGATGATTCGCTTGAACTTCCTCACTCTAGTCGGGTGGTTCCGTGGCAGCTGGTCCTCCGTGCGAAGCCCACCGCATCACCGTGATGGGCCTCCAACCCCATGTTGTGCTTCCATTGCCCATCAACGAGGAGGCCTGTGTGTCCTGCGCGAGTGGGATAGTCGTGGTCGACGTCCTATTGCGAGAACTGTGCAAGGACGTGCCTGAGCCTGCTCTTGCCTAACATGGATATGCTCGAACCGACGAAGCTTCCGATGGCGGCGGCGGTCATCCCATCGGCATTCTGGGTTTGCATGCTGATGATAGCGACAGCACGTTTTTTGTTTTAAATGAGGCGAGTTGCAACGACCAGGTGAAGATGAAGTACACGTTCGTGGGGAGCCGTGTGAAGATTGTATCGTTCACACTGGTGAGGGACGCCCGTGAGGTTCCCGTTTCTCTTGTTCATGCTGATCGTACGGTGGGGGCGTTGGTCAAGGAGTGCGCCCAGGTGGCTTCAGACCCAGGAGGGTTCCTTATCTGATGAGGGCGGCGGTGATATCCATGGCCAATCCACGTTTGGAGTTCCATTGGCTTCGAGACTGTATTTCTTATCCATTGGCTCCTCATCCAATGCCCCCACCATATTCGAGGTGACGCGGGCGCTGGGGGGGAATGGCAGGCGTGCTGGAGAGGCTCGCGCGTTTTCGCTCGGAACTCCACGCTGCCCCAAGTGATCCCCACGCTGGCCAGGTTCTACGCGAGATAGTGTGGCCAGATCGCGATTATTGGGAAGTCGAACCTGCCCCCCCCCCAAACAAAGCCTGATGTGAACTGCGTGCGTTGGGAAATCGAACCTGTTTTTTGGAAGCAGGTTCGACTTCCCAATACACGCAGTTCTTGTTCGGACCAGGTTCGACTTCCCAGTACACGCAGTTCATCTCAGACCAGATCGGGATTCGTATGACAGTTTCTGCGACAGCATCGAGCAGTTGTGCGTGCCCGTGCAAGTGTCCGCTGGACCTCCTCGTGGAACGGTGCGCCGCGGCCCTCGATGGCTCGCACAGTAGACGGGTCGTGATGGCTGCCTCGGTCGTCAACGCTTCTGACTTCGTGCTGGTCCTCTTCCCCGATTGCGAGCAGCTCTGCGCGAGTGCTCGTGCTGCTCGGGAGGTCTCGACTCCCTCCGACACTCAGCAGTGGGACGACTTGCTTTTGGACAGACGGGCGCTGGAGGAAGATCCAGCTACTGCAGCGGAGCCGCGAAGAAAGAGCGTCGGCCTCGTGGTGTACGTCGTTGGTGACACGCCACCTGTCTCGGCCTGGCAGTGTTGCCCCCCCCCCCTAGAGGGCTCTGGTGGTGGTATATTGTGGAAACCAATGCCAAGGAACACTCTGCTTGCCTCCAGGATGCCCTAGGTTTCTTGGGTTTCCATGGCTTTGCAATGGAAAGCGTGACGCTCCCACACCAAAAACCAGGGTTGGGTTTCTCGCGGAAGGTTTCTCGCGGTCGAGCTCATATTGTCGGTTCGGGGTTCCGCTTCAGACACCCCCGCCTTCGGCGGTGCTTCGGCCCAACGCTCCATCGCTGGTGTGCCTTGCCCCCCCCCCTGGAAGCCCTGGTGGTGGTAACTGTAGGTTCGGTTCGGCGGGCCTTCGGTTCAACGCTCAACCGCTGATATGCCTTGCCCCCCCCCTAGAGGGCCCTGGTGGTGGTATAGGTTCGGGGTGCCACTTCAGACCCCCCCCCGCTTTCGGCGGTGCTTCGGTCCCGCGCTCCATCGCTAGTGTGCCGAGGGGGCAAGAGTGCGCCGAGGGGTCGTCGCGGGGGGGAACTCCGCATCCTCCTCCTCCTCCGCCCTTCCCTCCTCCCTCCCTCCTCCTCCTTTTCCTCCTCCTCCTCCTCCTCCTCCTCCTCCCTTCCCTCCTCCTCTCTTCCCTCCTACTCCCTCCCTCCCTCCCTCCTCCTCCTCCACCATTCCGTTTGTCGTGTCTTGTCTTCTTTTGTTATCATGTCTTGTCTCTTCTCCCTGCCGTAGCTGTTGTTCCCCCGTCCAGCTCAGAGGATATCGAACTCCTCGCAGTCTGGCTTTGCACGCCGCCAGGCTTGGACGCGTCGGCCACCGCCACTGTCGCTGTCGCCGTCACCCGAGTCGGTGGCCCTGACGAGGGCGTAGCGGCGGCAGTGGCAGTGCCGAAACGCGCCCGGAGCCCAGCAAGGCGTGAGTGTGCAAACTCGACTCGTCTGGCTGATGCTCCGTGGGGTGCCCGTGCTCAGGGGAAGCCGCACCACCGCTCATCGATGTGGTGTGTGTCCGAACCTGCAAGGTGGGCCCTTCCGATTTTCTGTGCGCTCCAGTTTTGGCTCTGGCCTCAGCTGTTGGTGCACTGCGAAGCGTCTTCGGGCCAGCTCACCCGAGTCGTTTTTCTGCTCACACGGGTGCCTACCTTCCTCTCACCTTTGCAATCCCGCAGCCGACGGCCACGGAGGACGGCGACGGCGGACGAGGAGGACGGGCCACGACGCGGCGGCGACGGCGACGACTGCCGCTTCCACGGCGGCCTCTGCGCCCAGGAGGGCCTCAGCCGGCAGTGCTCCTCGGACCGCGCCGCCGCTGCCGCCCTCCACCACTCCCAGGAGGGGAAATCACACACGCACACAAACACAAACACAAACACACGCACACAAATATGTATATATATATATATATATGCACACACACAAACACACGCACACGCACACGCGCACGCGCACGCGCACGCCCACGTGCACGCGCACGCGCGAGCGCGCGAACGCAGGCACGCACGCACGCACGCACAGCACACAAACACACACACGCGCACACACGCACACACACACACATACACGCATCCGTAGCCATTTTGGCTCAAGCCAGGCTTGCCAAGATGTCGCTGCGCAATTCATCTTTGCTCGGCATGGTCCCCCTCGTGTCCCCGCGATGCTGCCTGTGGGCTGCTGATGTGGCGCTATCCTTCTGCCTCTGCATCGCGGCTGGCTTCTCTTCGATCCCATATCGTCTTTTAATCATTGGTTTGCAACTTACGATTCATTCGTGTGCGGTGGCGGCTGCTGGACGGGAGTTTACTTCAACATGTGCTGCGATTATGTTTCTTCATGGTCTTATTCCTGCTCCCATCTTTCGCCTGGCTATGATGGTCAACTCGGCTGCTGGTGCCGCGAAACATTCACAGTGGTTCTGCTTTTTCCCATCGTTTTGCCGGCGCCGCAGGCGGCAGAGAGGTGGGTATGGTAAGTCGGTGGTGGACGTACCATCTTCTGAGCGCTCGGGGCCTGGGCCCTGCATTATTAGCATATTCGACGCCCTTTCTTGTGGGCAGGGTTTGCCACCAGCGGTATCCAAATTCAACCCTTTGGTCACTGAATTCGTCCCTCAGGATGCTTGCAACGCTAATGGCAACAATTCGTTCTTGTCTTGTACTGGTGATTGTGGCAAGATTGTGGCTCCTCGTTATAAGTTTGCACGCCCTTGTCGTGTTTTGGCTGAGCCTGGCCCAGGCCCCTGCGGCAGTTCGGCGGGCAGGGGGCACTCCCATCTCATTACTGGAGACTCTTCTGTGCAACAGCTGATCGACGCTCAGAACAACACGATTGCTTTGTTGATCCAGGAGCTGGAGCAGCTGAGGACGGTGGCCCTTCCTAATATCTCTTTTTCGGTGCTGCAGGCCTACGTGGATGACAAAACTGCTGCAGTGTCGGCGCAGGTCACCCAGCTGCAAGCTGAACTCGCCAGAGCGGTCGAGGCTTCGCTCAGCCGTCGGCTGCCGCCTAAGCTCGAGGAAATGAAGTCACACATTCTGGACGCTGCCAGCCTATCTTTGCAGTCTCCTTTGGACACTCTGAAGCAGGAGCTGTGCGACAGTTTCACGACTCATCAGCGATCTCTGGGCGACCAATGTCTGTCTGCTGTGAGTGCCGCTTCTGCGAAGATTCTAGACACACTGGAGAGGAAGGTCCAGGCTCTTGAGACCAAATTTGGGAATGTGGCGCCTCAAGTTCCCTGGAGTGACCGGGTCAAGGGCGATGGCCCCGTGTCCCTTCCCGAGTGCCAGGGCGACCATTTCCAGGTGGGTGACTTGGTGCGCCCGCACAGCCTCGCTACGTCGGCTCTGAATGGGCTGGTGGGCTGCGTCCGTGGCTTCGTCGGAGAGAGGGTTCAGGTGGAGTTCTTAGGTATCGACGGCTGCAAGCTGATTAAACCAGCCTTCCTGGTCGCAGATTCGGCGGAGGAGCCGAGGACATGCGAGAACCCATGCGGCCAGGGAGGCTCGACATCTTCTTTGTCGTCTTCGACGGCTTCCTCTTCTACGACTTCTGAGCTGGCTGCTGCCGTGCTCCGACCCCGCTAAGATGAACAGACCCATGGTGTACGAGTGACACACACATACACGCACGCACGCGCACACGCACACACACACACACAGACACGCACGCACGCACGCACGCACGCACGCACGCACACACACACACACATACACACGCGCCCACGCACGCACGCACGCACGCACGCACGCTCGCACGCTCGCTCGCTCGTTCGCACGCACGCACGCACGCACGCACGCACGCACACAACGCACACCAAGCACGCACACCACACACACACCACACACACACGCACACACACACGCGCGCGCACACACGCACGCAAACACACGCACACACACGCACACACACACGCACACACAACACACACCACACAAAACACACCACACAACACACACCACACACACAACACACCACACAACACACAACACACAACTTACAACACAACACACAACACACAACACGCACAAGACACAACACACACAACACACACAACACACACACAACACACAACACACAGCACACACACAAAATACACAACACACACCACACACAACACACACAGCACACACACACGCACACGCACACGCACACGCACACACGCACACGCGCACGCACACGCACACGCGCACGCGCACCACAGGCACGCGCGCACACGCGCACACGCGCACACGCGCACACACGCACACACGCACACGCGCGCACGCGCACACGCGCACACGCGCACACGCGCACACGCGCACACGCGCACACGCGCACACGCGCACACGCGCACACGCGCACACGCGCACACGCGCACACGCGCACACGCGCACACGCGCACACGCGCACACGCGCACACGCGCACACGCGCACACGCGCACACGCGCACACGCGCACACGCGCACACGCGCACACGCGCACACGCGCACACGCGCACACGCGCACACGCGCACACGCACACGCGCACACGCGCACATGAGCACACGCGCACACACGCACACGCGCACACGCGCACACGCGCACACGCGCACACACGCACACGCGCACACGCGCACACGCGCAGTCACATACACTCGCACACGCGCACACGCGCACACGCGCACAAGCGCAACAGCGCACACGCGCACACGCGCACACGCGCACATGCGCACGCGTGCACACGCGCTCACGCGCACACGCGCATACGCGCACACGCGCACACGCGCACACGTGCACACGCGCACACGCGCACACGCGCGCACGCGCACACGCGCACACGCGCACACGCGCAGGCGCGCACACGCACACACGTGCACACACGCACACGCGCGCACGCGCACACGCGCAGACGCGCACACGCACACACGCGCACACGCACACACACGCACACACACACACACGCACACACGCGCACACACGCACACACGCACACACGCACACACACGCACACACGCACACACGCACACGCACACACACACACGCACACACGCGCACACGCGCACACGCGCACACACGCACACACGCACACACGCAAACACGCACACACGCACCCACGCACCCACGCACGCACACGTACACGCACACACGCACACGCACACACGCACACGCACACGCATACGCGCATGCGCGCACACGCGCGCACACGCGCGCAAACGCGCGCACACGCGCGCACACGCTCGCACACGCTCGCACACGCGCGCACACGTGCACACGCGCACACGCACACGCGCACCCGCGCGTACACGCGCACACGCGCACACGCGCACACACGCGCAAACGCCCACACGCGCACACGCACACGCACACGCACACGCACACGCACACGCGCACACGCACACGCGCACACGCGCACACACAAATACACAAACACACACACACAAACACAACACAACCACAAACAAAAACACAAACATAATGCACACGCAGTCACACACACACACTAACAAACAAACGCACACGCACACGCGCACGCGCATGCGCACACGCACGCACGCACGCACGCACACACACATACACACACACGCGCACACACGCACACACGCACTCACGCACTCACGCACGCACGCACGCACGCACGCACACGCACACACACACACACACACACGCACGCACGCACGCACGCACGCACGCACGCACGCACACGCACACACGCAGACGCAACGTCTCGTCGGTCTCCAGGAGGATATATGGAATCACATGGCAAGTGGAGGGGGAGACGAGAGCCCAGAACATATGGTCGAAAGATGGGGACTATTGGGGTCAGTGCCTATCTATTTGTGTGCCCCTGGCCCCCCGATCCCGCTCGCCCTCCGGGGCCCCAGGGCTGGCCAGCCGAGGCCGCACACAAGAAGGCTGCCCCACTGTGGCTGGCGCCCGCCGGGGCAGGCTGAATCGCGCCAACATCGCCGCTGCATCAGCGACGCGCGTCGGTGCGGAGGGAGCGTAAGTTGTTTAACTCGAGCACACAACGCGCGTCATGTGGCCTCCAAGCCACCCACCCACCCACCCACCCAGTAGATAACATAACGCCTTCCGCTTCACCCACCCCCGTTGCAGCAGCCCCTGTTGTGTGGCGCGCGTGGATGTTGTTCGCAGTGCGCGCGCAACGTGTTATATCATGTGCCAGCGGACCCATCCACCCACCCAACCACTGAACGCGCGTCATATAGTCTCAAAAAACTTGAGTGCACAGGTTCCCCTAAGAGTGTTTGATTTGCACGAAGTATTCTTCGAACGTTTCTGGCTGGGCCTGTTGATGTTTCAACACGTCGGCTTTATGTTCTAAGATCCGTGTTTTTGGATCTTAGAAAAATTTGGGGTTCCGGCAGGCCTATAGGTATTCCAGGGCGGTCGGTCCCTGCTTCAATCTTCTCCACCCCGACGTCGCCGCCGCATCGGCGACGCGCTCAGGTGCGGAGCACAGCTTTTCCAGCCCGACGTCGCCGCTGCATCGGCGGCGCGCTTCGGTGCTTAGCGTTGCTTCTCCAACGGCTTCGGCTTCCCAGAAAGCCGGGGTGTTCTGAGAAGCCAAGCCGAATTCTGCTGGGCGGATCTGAAAGGGGGGTGAAGAAACAGGGCCCTCAAGGGGTCCTTCAGGGCTTCCTTTGGGCCCCCTTCGGCTGCAGAAGGGGCCCTAAAGGGTCTTTCTAGGGTCTTTTTTCTGCACCCCCCGTTTCGGTCATCTCCCGTTCCAGCCCGATTGTGAGAAGGCCTGCCCCCTCCACACGAGCAGTGGCGAAGCGTCCTGGCTTGCCTGTAGGCCCGCCAAGGAATGTTCTAAGAACTTGTTGTGGTCTGCGCGAAATGTTTCTAGAAAATGTCCGGCTGGGACTGTCTTGTACTAGTACATCGGGTCGATGTTCTAAGAACCGTATGTTTGTTCTCAGAACAATTGTGGGCTCTAAGAATGCGTCGCGGTAGGCTTGTAGGAATGCCGGGGCGGTCGGTCCCTGCCCAATTTTGGGCCCCTTGTTTGCACCCCCCCGACGATCACCCCCGCTGCCCGCCCACCCGATTCTGAGAAGGCCTGCCCCCTCTGCCCCTCCCTCCCCCCCCCCCCGCTGGGTGCGCCGCCGCTCCCCGCCCCGCCTCGATCCTCGAGCCCCCGTTCCTCGGGCTCACACCTGCCTTGCAGTGGAGACCCATGCCAGGGAACACCCTGCCTGCCTCCTGGGTGCCCTGGGCTTCTCGGGATGTCGATGGCTCTGCCATGGGAAGCGTGACGTTCCCACACGTAAAACAGATGGACGTCCTGGGGTCTCAGGGTTGGGTTTCTTGTGGGAGGTTTCTTGTGGACTGGCCTCCACTGTACCTCGGGATGCGCATATCCTGTTGAGCACGCCTTCGTGCCCATGCCACCGTTCCCGGCACCACCTCGAGCCTCCACGTGTCGCCGCCCTCGGTGGTGAGCACGAAGGTCGCCGCGAGCACCTGCCGCGGTCGAGCACCGATCCTCGAGCACCACCGACCCCAGAGGGCAAAGTCTACTCCGAGTTTCTTAATAGCGTCGGGGGGGCGTCACCCCCGCCGACAGCCCCACATCGACCCCCGTCGCGGGTAGCCACCGCGCGCCGAAGGCGCTCCGACCCCTGTCGCGGCGCGACGACGAGGTGAGGATGACCCCCGTCGGGGGGGTCCCCCCCCACGCTTATACTAAGAAACCTGGAGTAAGCATAAACTTTCGGAGTTCCGCGCAGATTTCTTGGATCTGCGTTGGGCCCCCCCTGACGGTGCCTCCAGTGCCGCCCCTGGCGCGATCCGCGCGCCAGGGAGAGAGGCCCATCGCGGATCCGAGAAATCCGCGCGGACCTCCAAAAGTCTATCATGTATATGCCCTTCTTTGTTCTTCCATTCTAGAATCCAATGTTTGGGCCTATGCCGCATGCTGCTCTCACTTTCTAGCCACCAGCGTCTGGGGGTACACTATGCGGTCGCGTACACAGGCGGGGTGGATGCGTCAAGGCACAACGCGGCCGTTGCGTTTGGAGCACAGTGAAAGGTCGGAAAAAATATAGATACGTCCACGATTCGTTCATGTTCTGAAGCAGGTCCCACATGGTACTCCCAAACCGACCCTCCTCGACCCGGCGGCGAGCGAGGGGGGGAAGTGAGAAGGAGAAGGCTTTCTCAGAAGGCGGCGCGGCCTCTCAGAAGCCCCCGCGCCTCCTAAGAGGCTGTCCGTGTCTTCGGGGAAGGCTTGGACAATTGTTCGGGAGGCCGGGGGACTTCCGAGCCTCCTCGATCCTTCTCCTCGATCCTCCTCGATCCTCCTCCTGGATCCTTCTGGATCCTCCTCGATCCTCCTCCTCGATCCTCCTCGAGCCTCCCCCCCCAGGCTCGCCGTTGATCCACCCCTGGAGATCCTCAGTGCGGCGCCGACCTTCGGGCGACCCCCCCCCCCGTCCCCGGGCGCGCCGCGGAACTGCGCCCCATCCCCCCCCGCGCGCGCGAGCTGCGGCGCGGCGCAGGGGGCCTCCAGCGCCAGAAAGGTGAGCTTCGGCGCGGCGCCCACCGGCACCGCCCCCGAGGACGCCCGCCGGCGGCGCGCCGCGCCGCTCACTCCGAGCGCCGCTCTCCCGTCTTGGAGCCATCTGGTGCCTGCGTTGGCCCAGCGCTGGCTCTGGCGAGCAGGAAGGGGAGGGGGAGGGGGCGAGGTGCGAGGTTCCTGGGGAAGGGGAAGGGGAAGGGGAGGGGGAGGGGGCGAGCAGGAAGGGGAAGGGAAGGGGAGGTTCGGGAAGGTCCTCCTGCACTTCTCGGCCTCCAGGGGCCGCGTTCGGGCCCTGGGGGCCGAGAACAAAACGAAGCTGGGGGGAACAATGGCACCAGATTGGCCCCAGGAGGAGGTCGGGGACCGACTCTGAGCGGACTCGGCCTCGCACCAACCCGTTCAGATCCCCCCCCCGACCGCCTTCAACTCCCGTCCATCCTCGGCCACGCGCAGAGGGGGCAAGCGGATGAGGGGGGGCTTCGTAGGAGGCGCGGGCGTCGTCTGCAGATGTAGGGCCGGCTCCCTCTAAGAAGCAGCCTCTTTCGAAGGAGCTTTCCCCCTCCCCCTATAGAGAGCGCCAGGGAGGCGTTGGGGAGCCCAGGGAGTCTCGGGAGGGGGGGGGCAATGCGTGACTGTGGAGAGATGGGGGGGGTTGGAGGACTACAGGAGCCATACTAGGCAGCACTTGGCATCCTGCCACGCCTCAGCGTGTCAGGAGGCACGCTGAGGCGGATCAGGGGAAAGGGGGGCAGTATTCATTGCATTCAGTCCACATTCGAAATTGGGAGAGAGAAAAGGAAGGACGAGGATTCGGAAGTTGACGAGGATGGCAGTGATGATGTTGAGATCGATGATGATGATGATGATGATGATGATGATGATGATGATGATGATGATGATGCTGATGATGATGATGATGATGATGATGATGCTGATGATGATGATGATGCTGATGATAATGATGATGATGATGAAGATGAAGATGATGATGATGATGATGATGATGATGATGATGATGATGATGATGATGATGTTGCTGTTGCTGTTGCTGCTGCTGCTGCTGATGATGATGATGATGATGGTGATGCTGCTGATGATAATGATGAGTCTGATGATGGTGGTGATGATGATTGTATGATGATGATGATGGTGATGGTGATGGTGATGGTGGTAATGATGATGATGATGATGATGATGATGATGATGATGATGATGATGGGGCTGATGATGATGATGATGATGATGATGATGCTGATGATGATGTTGCTGCTGCTTGTGATGATGCTGATGGTGATTATGTTGCTGATGCTGTTGCTGCTGCTGCTGATGATGATGATACAGATGATGATGATGATGATGATGATGATGATGATGATGATGATGATGATGATGATGATGATGATGGTGATGATGATGATGATGATGATGATGATGATGATGATGATGATGAATAGATGGGGCCCGACGGGAGAGAATGAGGAGGATCACTCTGACGGTGATGTTGATGAGGGACAGCAGAGGGATGAGGCAGGGGAAGGGGAGAGGGGGATGGGAGGGCAGGCGCCCATACCTTCACCTGGACTCAGATCCCGGCGGCTGTGGACCCCGAAAGTGCCGACTTGAGGCTCCATTGCGGCAGGTTCGCGGCGTGTCGACTCGCCGCGACCCCGCCGCGGGCTTTCAAGCTTTCACGCCGCAAGTGGCCCAGAATCGGCCCAATATGGAACGATCTGGCGATCGAGCAGCCGCCGCTCGTTCAAGGTTGAACAATCCACGCAGCGTCAGAAACCAACGCTTGGGTCGTCACGACACGAACCCGCCGTACCCCCTTCATCTGTCGGCGGAGAGCCCGGAGGGGAAATGAGAGGGGGCGGGCCATGTCAGAAGGCTCGGAAGTCCTCCGGCGTTATGAGAAGGTTTCTATCAGCCTTCCTCGAAGGCGCAGAAAACTTATCAGAAGGCGCGAGGGCTTCTCTGAGCTTCTCTGAGAAGTCCCGCCGCCTTCTGAGAAGGCCTTCTCCTTCTCATTTCTCCCCCTCGCTCGCTGCCGAAGTCTGGCCTTCTGCGAAATGCTTCGTGCGACGGCGACGCTCGCATTGGCGACGACGACCTCAAAAATGCGCCCTGCAGACCTCTCCTGTTGCGCGCGCTGTCTGGGGAGTTCGAGGCGGATCTGTGCGTGGCGACGAGGACGCCCTCAGAGAGCGGCGGCCAAACGCTGCTCCGTGAGAGCGGCGGCAGGCGACAGGGCGCGGTCAGAAGCCACTCCCGGGATGGTGACCTGAAGGTCAGAGGAGGACAAGGTACCCACACCTCCACCCTTCTCTCGTTTTCCCCTTTTTGGGCCTCCTGGAAGGCCCTCGTGGCCACCGCTGGATTCGCCTCGAAGTCCCTGTCAGAACGCACCCCGGGAGAGGCCCGGGGAGGGTAGCGGTATCGGTGCCTTCTGGCCCCAGGGATTTTTCGACTCTTCCACAGGCCCATCGCGCGTCCTTGTTATACGGGTTGACTGTAGGACCCAGAAGGGACCCCGAGGGCGCCAGACACCACGAAGCTGCTTTCGGGGAGCTTTGTCAGAGGTCTGGTCCTCCAGAGGGCCCCAGAGGTCTAGGGAGGCCTCTGGAGTTACCAGCTTGAAACATATCATATCCCCATGCCTGTGCTTGGCATCGCCTTGCCTCGGTGCCGATCGTGGGGCTCCCCAGCTTTAGAGGGCGCGTCCCTAAGATTGGCATCGCCTTGGGCTTGCCGATCTCAGGGGCGTGGATAAGTGCGATGCTGGTTGTGGAGGCTTCGAAGCGCAGCCGAAGTTCCTCCTCCTCCTCCTCCTCGTCCTCCTCCTCCTCCTCCTCCTCCTCCTCCTCCTCCTCCTCCTCCTCCCTCTCCTCCAGAGAGAGCCCGCTCCTCCCCCGTGGCTGGCCTCGCGGCTCCTGGGAGGCCCGCCCGCGTGCCGCTCAACCCTGGGCTTCCGGGGAGCGGCCACCCGGGCCTTCCAGCGTGCCCTTGTCTGGCCCTCCAGGCTCGCAGACGTGCCAGGCCAGCTTGAGATCAAGTCGGGCAGGCCCCTCCACAGGGGGAACTTTCAGACACAGAAAAGCAAATAGCCCAGGGACGATCTCTCCATTCTCGTTGGACTATGTTTGGAGTGTGTCGTGACTGTTCCTTATGTTTCTTCAAAAATCTGCCCGCAGGGGGACAAGCCCGACCTGAGCTCAAAAACATCGACAATGCATCCAATCCGAGGGTCCTGGCGCTACGCTTCGGCCCCCCTGGGAGAGGGCAGGGGTCCGAAGATACCTCCCCTCCGGGAGGACGAGCCCAAGGACGCCGTCGCGCTCTCGGGCGCCGGCGAGCCGGAGGACCTGGAGGACGAAGACGTGCTGGCGCCGTTGGGCATGCCGAGGCCCGGTGGGCGGGGTGTGGTGTCGGGGGAGGGGCCACTTTGAAGTCGGGCATGGCCCTCTACAGGGGTAGGATTCAAAATTGTCAAAAAATGGTCTCGGGGCGGTTTTCAGATGATTTCTGGAGTACTCTTGAGCATTTTCGGAGTATTGTTTTCATTTTCCGTTCAAAATCCGCCTGTAGGGGGACATGCCCGACCTCAGGCTTGTTGAGACATCGGCGACCGTCCTCCTCATTCTCTCTCCCCCTCCTCCCCCCTTCCCTGTTTACCTTCCTCCTCCTGCGCCTCTGATGCGCTCATGGGTCTGAAGGCCAACTATTGCTCGGCGACGGACAAGACATCTGCAGAGGGAAACTCGGGAAGCACCCCGGAGAGCAAGGAAGACCGCGAGGATGGAGGGGAGAAGAGCGAGTGAAGCCAGGTGCCTCAGAAGTCCTCGAGCTGCGCGTGTGAGCTCGCATCACCATTCGCTATGCTTTCAGTAGGGAATCATCGCAGTGCTCCACCTTCCCTCTCCCCTCCACCTCGCTTCGGTCGACCAGAGCCCGGGCTGTGAAAGCACATCGCCTGCCCGTGCTGCCAGCTCTGGGGCGGGTGGGGGAGGATGTCAGGAGACGCTCGACGGCCGGGCGCGACAGCCCAGAAGACCCCGGACAACGCGCATGCCACACACACACGCTCACGCACGCACGCACTCACGCACGCACGCACGCACGCACTCACACACACATGCACACACGCATGCACACACAAAACGCAAAAACACAAATACACACAAATGCACACACACAGACACACACACACACACACACACAACAACAACAACAACAACAACAACAACAACAACAACAACAACAACAACACACACACACACACTCACACTCACACTCACCCTCACCCTCACCCTCACCCTCACACTCACACTCACACTCACACTCACACTCACACTCACACTCACACTCACACTCACACTCACACTCACACTCACACTCACACTCACACTCACACTCACCCTCACCCTCGCCCTCGCCCTCACCCTCACCCTCACCCTCACCCTCACCCACACCCACACCCACATCCTTGTTCCATATTACTAGATACCCCCACCTACCTCGTATTCCCGCCGATAGCAACCCAATCCGGGACCTCCCATCTGGATTGTAAACAATGAATACAAAGTGGCCGTTTTTCTTCTCAACATCGTCCTTGTCGTCGACAATGCGAAAAGCGTGGCAGGAATGGGACGCGGCGCGCATCGCGCGCGGCAGTCAATCCGGGGCCGCCCACCCTGACTGTAAAAAATCAATACAAAGTCTTCGTTTGTTCCTCTCAGCATGGCCTGCCTTGTCGCCGACGGTGCGAAATATGTGGCAGGAATAAGACGCGGCGCACATCGCGCGCGGACGTCCATGCGGGCTGCGGGCCCTCCCACCCTGACTAGTGCTACTAGTACCATTGGTACGACTACTACTACTACTACTACTACTACTACTACTACTACTACTACTCCTGCAACTACTTGTTCTGCAAATTGTATTCCCAATGGCATTGCTACTAGTCTAGCAGTCGTACAAGTATTACTCGCGCTTCTACTCTCATAGTGCTACTCCTCTGTACTACTACTCGTACGAGTACTAGTGCTACCTGTAGTACTTCTGCTTATACTACTCGTATTATTACTCGTACTACTAGTACTACTACATATTACCTATTCGTATCCCCACTCTACTACTACTACTAATACTACTACTACTACTACTACTACTACTACTACTACTACGACTACTACTAGCACTACTACTACTACTACTACTACTACTACTACTACTACCACTACTACCACTACCACTACCACTACCACTACCACTACCACTACCACTACCACTACCACTACAACTACCACTACCACTACCACTACCACTACCACTACTAGTACTAGTACTGCTACTAGTATTACTACTACTACTACTACTGCTGCTGCTGCTGCTACTACCACTACTACTACTACGAGTACTACTACTGTACTACTACTACTACTACTACTACTACTACTACTACTACTACTACTACTACTACTACTACTACTACTACTACTACTACTACTACTACTACTACTACTACTACTACTACTACTACTACTACTACTACTACTACTACTACTACTACTACTACTACTACTACTACTACTACTCAGGTCACACCTGACTTATGGCCGGTCAGGTTTGGGTTTGGGTTTGGGTTTGGGTTTGGGTTAGTTTTTTTGTGGTCTATTGGAAACCAATTGTTTTACTTAGTTTTCTATTGGAAACCAATGGCTTGGCTTCGTTTTCTATTGAACACATATGGTTTAAATTCGTTTCCTATGGGGAACCAATGGTTTAAATTAGTTCCTTTTGGAAACCAAGGTTTTTTATTAGTTTTCTATTGGGAGCCAATGGTCTGCATTAGTTTTCTATTGGAAGCCAATTGTTTTTTATTTGTTTTCTATTGGAAACCAATGTGTTTAATTAGTTATCTATTTGGAGGCAACGGTGTTAATTAGTTTTCTATTCGAAACCAATGTTTTTAATTAGCTCTCTATTGGGAACAAATTGTTTCTATTAGTTTACTCTGGTAAACCAATGGTTTTTATTAGTTTCTATGGGAAGCCGTCGAGAATTCCTGGGGACTCCTTGAGATTTCCTTGGGAATCTTCGGGGTACGTCTTTAGGATTCACCGAGGAAACATTAGGATTCACAGAGACTTCCTTCGGATTCCTCGAGCATTCCTTGGGATTCCTCAGGAATTCCTTGGGATTTCTGGAGACTTCCTGAGGATTCCTGTAGACTTCCTTAGGATTCCTGGAGACTTCCTTGGGATTCTTCGAGAATTCCTAAGGCATCCTTACAAATTCCTGGGGATTCTTTGAGAATTCCTATGGGATCTCAAGGATTCCTTAAGATTCGTCTGGGGTTCCTCCAGATTCCTGGGGGCGTCCTAAAAATTCCTGGTGAATTCCTTAGGATTACTCCGAGATTCTCAGGATTCCACCGAGATTCCTTCGGATTCTTCGGAAATGCCTTAGGATTCCTGTTGAATTCCTTGAGCTCCTGAAGAATTCCCACGGATTCCTTGGGCATTCCTTGGGGTTCCTGAAGAATTCCTTGGGATTCCTTGAGACTTCCTCAAGATTCCTGAAAATCTTTTAGGTTTCCTGGAGGCTTCCTTGGGACTCCGCAGGGATTCCCAAGGATTCCTAAGGATTTCCTTAAGATTCCTTCAGGATTCCTTGGGATTCCTTCGGATTCCCGGAAGCTTCCTGGAAAAATTCTTAGGTTTCCTGCAGGCTTCCTTGGGAATCCCGAAGAATTCCTTGGGATTCCATTAGATTTCTGTAGGACTCCTGGAGAATATCCCTCAGGACTCCCAGGGATTCCTGCGGATTCCTGATGAATTCCTGCGGATTCCTGGAGAATTCCTTTGGATTCCTGGGGAATGCCTGAGGTTTCCTTGAGAATTCCTGAGGATTCCCTGAGAATTCCTTAGGATTCCTAACAGCGTGCCGGCCATAGGTCAAGTGTGAGGGACGCGTAGTTTATATTGGGTTTTCGTACACCTCTATAGAAGCCCAACCAAACTACCGGCCATAAGCAGGCAAGCCATAGACGACGGGTGACCCTATTACTACAACAAACAACAACAACAATTACTACTACTACTACTACTACTACTACTACTACTACTACTACTACTACTACTACTATTACTACTACTGCTACTATTACTACTACTACTACTACTACTACTACTACTACTACTACTACTACTACTACTACTACTACTACTACTACTACTACTACTACTACTACTACTACTACTACTACTACTACTACTACTACTACTACTACTACTACTACTACTACTACTACTACTACTACTACTACTACTACTACTACTACTACTACTACTACTACTACTACTACTACTACTACTACTACTACTACTACTACTACTACTACTACTACTACTACTACTACTACTACTGCTACTACTACTACTACCACTACTACTACTACGACTACGACTACTACTACTACTACTACTACTACTACTATTACTACTAGTATTACTACTACTACTACTACTACTACTACTACTACTACCACTACTACTACTACTACTACCACTACTACTACTACTACTACTACTACTGTTACTACTACTACTACTACTACTACTATTACTACTACTAATACTACTACTACTACTACTACTACCACCACTACGCGCCAGCACCCAGTTGTGCCAGCATTATTTCTTATGTTGTGGGAGGGCGGAACGTGTCCGTTGTTCCTTTCAACATGGCCAGTCTTGTCGTCAACGATGCGAAATGCGTGGCGGGAATGGGACGCGGCGCGCATCCCGCGCGGACGTCAATGCGGTGTTCTGGGGTATCCTCAACTCGCACTTAAATGCCCGCGCAGCCCCCAGTTGTGACATCACTGTTTCTTATGTTGTGGGAGGGCGGGTGGGAATGGGCATGCCATGCTTGATTCGCTCGAGCTGGCTAGCTTGACCCACACCCACACCCACACCCACCCCCACACCCACACCCACACCCACCCACCCACGCACCCATGCACCCACGAACCCACGCACCCACGCATCCACACCCACACCCACACCCACACCCACACCCACACCCACACCCACGCACCCATGCACCCACGCACGCACGCACGCACGCACGCACGCACGCACGCACACACGCACCCTTTGCTCGTTTTCCCCTTTTTGGGCCTCCTGGGAGGCCCTCTTCGCCACCGCTGGATTCGCGTCAAAATTCTTGTCAGAACGCACCCCTGGGTAGGTCTGGGGAGTAGCGGTATTGGTGCCTTTTGCTCTCCCCAGCCCCCTCCGCATGGGGAGAGTGGTGCGGATTGCCCCCTGCAGAAGGGGGCAGGGAAGAGTCAGGGGGCCACATGCGAGCCCTACCCCTACCCCCCACGATTTCTGAGGGTGAGGCTGGGGTTCGCTTCGTTCGGGAGCTCCCGAGCGAAGTGAACCCCACCCCCTCAGAAATCGTGGGGGGTAAGGGTGGGGTTCGCATGTGGCTCTTTAAGAGTGCGTTCGCTGCATCTGGCGTCCGGGAGAGGTGGAGGGGAGGACGGGGGGGAGAGAAGGAGCCGACGGCGACGGGAGAAGAAGCCGAGAAGGGGAGGAGGCCCCGGCGGCAGAAAAAAACACCCAAACGGGAGAGCCTCACAGCGGCAGTGCACGGCCCTGCGGGGCGGAAGCTGTGCAGAGAGTGCGCTCGCGGCACCGAACATCCTGGGGCAGTCTATAACGCCCTGCAAGGCGCAGGAGGTGGGAGAACGGCGAGGGAAGGAGGAGGGGACCACACGACAGACAAGGAGAGGGACGAGGAGGAGGGATGGGGGCGACGAGAGGTGCACGCTGCACAGAGACAAGCACAGAAGCTCCCACACCACCATGGACAGGGTGCAAGATATCCTCCGTGATCGACGAATCGAGCACGCCGTGCTCTTCCCCGCACTCTTGGCGGGAGGGGGCGGTGGAGGGAGCCTGAGACAGGCGGCCGAGATGCTGCGGCCCAGCCGCCCAACACCGCTCCACGGAGGCTGGGAGACCCGCAGCGAGGGCGCAGCGCACGAACTCGAATGTCTGTCTGACAGCCAGGAGACTCCTCCTCCTCCTCCTCCTCCTCCTCCTCCTCCTCCGCTGGGGGCGGGAGCAAGCGGGGAAGAAGGGAAGACCCGAGCAAGGACTAAGTCTGAGTGAAAAGCGGCAGGAAGATACCACGATGAACCTCACGCGTCTGTGGTGCACCACAGCTCTGAGAGTACAACATGGCATCAGACTTCCCACAACGAACTGAGGATCCATGATCGATGAATCAAGCACGCTGTACTCTCCCCCGCACTCTAGGTAGGAGGGGGACTCTGGACGGAGCCTGAGACAGGCGACCGAAATTCCTCAACCCAACCGCCCACCACTGGGTACACACAGTAAGTTCTGCAGCTGTTCAAAATCCTGAGATCAAGTGGAAGAAGGCCGAGTAGCGCCGCTGCAAAGAGCACTGGATGGAAGGACTCTCACCACCAGCGTTGAAACTCACATGCTCGTGAGGACAAACTTCCACGCTCGGGAGATCAAATTGTTGACGCTTCGCGCATCCCCTCCGGCTGCTCCTTGGATGGGGGGGGCTCGCACGTCCATCGTCGTCGGGCACCGCGCCCCCCATACGCCGGTCGAGCGCCGCCCCCACGAGCTCGCGTCGCCCCTGGCACGGCTCTCCGCCTCCTCGCTGCCGGTGTTGCTCGGCCTTGCCGTCGACTTACCGCCGCGGCTCCCGCCTTGTCTTGACGCCCCCCCCCCGGCGCTCCGGTTTTACGTCGAGCGCCTGCACGGTTGCCCTCTTCGGATAAGTCGCCGTCTTCTTCGTGGACGTGGTCGTCGCCTTCGTGGTCGTGGGCATGAATTACGACGCCATTTTGGTAATGCACGCGGACCAGCACTCTCCTGGTCTCCGACGGTTTCGGCGAGTTCGACCTGTTCGTCAGCGTCCTTCTCGCCCCCTGAGCCCAGCGTAGTTCGCTCCTGCGCGCTCAGTGCCACATTTTTGTCCGCTGCTCGTGAGCCGCGTTTCGACTCGATGCCGAGCGATGTGTCGCCGCGGTCGCGATCAAAAAGTACCCTCTCCAGCCTGAGCGGCAGCGAGGCCCGCCTCGGCCCCCCTCCTCGGCTCCCCTCCTCGGCTCCCCTCCTCGGCTCCCCTCCTTCCCCTCCTCGGCTCCCCTCCTCGGCCCCCCTCCTGTCCCCTCCTCGGCTCCCCTCCTGTCCCCTCCTGTCCCCTCCTCGGCTCCGGTTTGTCCCTTCCCCGTTGCCCCCTCCTCGGCTCCTCTCCTTCCCCTGGCGCAATTCGCTCGTAGCCTGCGCGCTGCGACCCCTTGACGGCGCCCGGCCTCCTCCGGTGCGCTCGCGATCAGGAGAAGCACCCCCCCCTCCAGCCCATCCACAAACGATGCCCAGGCGAGTTGCCTCGATCGGGGAGCGGAGAGCACGCCAAGGAACAAAGTGCTGGAGAAACCGCCGTACCCCAAGAGGGGAGGGAGGAGGAGGAGGAGGAGGAGGAGGAGGAGGAGGAGGAGGAGGAGGAGGAGGAGGGAAGGATGGCGAGGAGGAGGAGGAGGAAGGAGGAGGACAGCGTGGAGAAGGACGAGGAAGAGGTTGGGGAGGGGAGGAAGGAGGAGGGAGGAGGAACGAGGACGAGGAGGAGGAATAGGCGGATGAGGATGAGGAGGGGAAGGAGGAGGAGGAGGAGGAGGAGGAGGAGGAGGAGGAGGAGGCGGAGGAGGAGGAGGAGGAGGAGGAGGAGGACGAAAAGGGACGAGCAGAAGAGCCAGAAGCCTCCTGAATGCGATGCCTCCCGGAGTCTCCTCGGATGTGTCTTGGAAGTTGTTTGGAGGCCTTTTGGAGCGTCTTGGGGGCATCTTGGCGGGCCCAGGGCCGTCATTGAGCGTCTTGGGTGCTTCGGAGATCCTCTTGAAGCGTCTTGGGGGCCTCCGTGGGAGCCTCTTGGATGCCGCCTCTTGGGCGCCTCTTGGGGCCGTCTGGGCGCCTCTAGGGGCACTCTTGAGGCGCTCTTGGAAGCCTTGGGGACGCTCTTGGAGCCATCTTGGAGGACATCGATCAAAAAAGAGGGGTTCCTCAATTAGCGCTGCCCCTCAGGAACCCCAACAATTGTCTCTTGGGGCGCTCTTGGAGCGCTCTTGGGTTGGGGCGTTCGTGGGCGCTCTTGGGGCCGTCTTGGGGCTCTCTTGCGCTTCTCGTGGGGCCCTCTTGGGCCATATTTGAGCCATCTTGAGGCATCAGACGTCTATCGAAATCGAACGGGTGACGATGCAACAATCAATGGTTGTCCTCACGCTTTTGAGTGATTTTGGCATCTTGGAGACCTCCTTGGAGGTCTCGGAGGCCTCTTGGAGCCGTCTTGTGGCGGTCTTGGGGCCTTTCCTTTTGGAGCATCTTCGGGGCCAGGGTATCTTGAGCCATCTTGGGATGTTGGGCTCTCCGAGGCGCTCTTGGAGCCGTCTTGGGCCATCTTGAACGCTCCAGCTACCAGCGAAACCCCCCTTCCAGGTCCAGGGGAGGGGGTCGGGGGACCACGCGCCACCATCCACGCCGTCCCTGTCAAAAACCACTTGACAGTGATCGTGGGATGGCCGCGCATGATCCAGATATAGCGGCGAGGTGCATGTTGTATTGTAGGGGTGGTCGCCCTGCACACAGCAGGGAATATGCTGACACACCCGCCGCCCTTGTCAAAACAATGCGAAGTGCTCGCGGGCCTCATGAACATGACTCCAGACTTTGCCCCAAAGTGTACTTTGCACTGATTTTTGAAAGGGATGGTGGGGGGGGCCGCATCGGGTTGGCCGCGCATGCTCCAAATGTGGAGGCAGAGTGTGGCTTGTATTGTTCTGTAACAGGGATGGTGGTCGGCGGGTGGTCATGGTGTCGGCATGGTTCCTGGTTGGCCTCCGGTCGCCTGGGGGAGGGGGTGTATTTTAGTAAGGGACAGTGGTAAACGCTTCCCCGGAGGGGAAGAATGGGGTTAGAAGAGGAGCTGAGCCGGCCCTAGAACACCTAGGCCCTAAAGGGCTGGTGGGATTTCTCACCCGATCGTTCGAGGACGCTAGTGTTGAGTCGGGCATGTCCCTCTACGCGAGGGAAATTCCAAACAAGTCAAAATTTAGTCAGGGGACAATTTTTCGACTATTGCCCCAGGGGTCCTATAGCGCCACGCGGGATGTCCAGAGGCGCGCGGAAGGCCCGCGGGGTCGGCGACGGCGGCGGCAGCGGCGACAACAACGGAGGGAGAGCATGGAGGAGGAAGAAGAGGAGGAGGAGGAGGATCAGGAAGAGCGCTGGCCGAGACAGAGGAGGAGCGGTGCGTGATGGGTTCTGGATTGAGCTCCGCATTGGGCAACGTATTGGGTTACGTGTTGGGCTTTTTGGGCAACGTATCGCCGGCAGCCTTACGTACCGCGTATCGAGCGTGGACGTTGTACGTGTTGACCCACGTATTGGCGAATGTATGCAGCCATATCCACGTTTTCGATATACATATAGAACTACGTATCAATACGCTCCGGATTGCGTGTTGCGTATCGGGGCAGCTAAGTTCTTGCAGCACCAGCATCCACATCGCAGCATGATACCACCGACGTCCACGGATTTGTTGGGCACAGACCATCATTATTTCCAGAGCGACGTCTGCCAGTTCCAGATGATTTCTGCCACATCAGACACCGCCAACACGATGGACAGAAACCTATACCCGCCGCGACCAGCAGGGGTAGCCACGCAGGCCCTGTAACGCCGCGTAGGTTCCCAGTTGCAGTTTCTCACACTTCAAAGCTACGCCTGCTCCTGCCCGCAGTGACTCTCTTCGCTCCTCGGCTCATGTTTTGTCCCCCGATGGGACGGGACGGAGGGAGGTCTGGCTGCATGTTGCGGCTTCAGGGTCCACGGCCAGGAGGAGAAGGAGGGGAGCGGACAGGAAGGACGGACGAGGAGCTGTTGTGACAGAGGATGGGGAGAGGACGCACGAGTGGTCTCACGAACGCGTCGGACTGGAGGAAGCGTAAGCGTGGTGGGGATGATTGCTTCGTGCATTCAGCATTCGTTCCACAGGGCGCGCGCTAAAATCCATGCGGCCGTCTGCCTCTCAGCAATGACACCGTGCACAAGCATTATCTGACATACACCTAGCACTGCATGAAGTTTGATTCCAGTGTTTTTGCTTAATGATTTCTTCCCCCCCAGCGCAGTGAGGCAGACCAGCAGCACCGGCATGCGGCGCAGCTGCAGCCGCCATCTGGTCACGGACGAGCTAGGGTGGGCCGCGGGCTAAGCAGCTTGTTGATGTTTCGAGAATGCGCAAATCGCCCTTCGATCGAGGAAGTTGGGGATGGGGAGGAAAGAGAAGCAGCAGGAGCAAGAGGAGCAGGGTGTGGGGGGGGAGGAGGGGGACGTGAGGCTGACGAGAGAGGAGGGGGATGATGTCTTTCTTCCGCTGTGGGCAGCACCGGGAAGAGAGGACGAACTTGCCGCTACGGACAACCATATTTACGCGCTTGCGTTGCCACGTCATATATACTAAGATCCTGCCCAGTGCCACAGGGCGCTGCGCAAGCCTGGGGCTGAAGATCAGGCCTGTCCGCGCCCAACTAATGGAGTTCGGGGCGAGATCGCACCCCTGCGCTGCGGGTAAGCGCGTCAGCCAATGAAGCACGGGACTCGCTAGTTGGTGGGGCCAATTAATAGGCATTGTTTTCAGCACCCTCTCAGGACGCATCCATCGAGGGTGGTACCACTGCGATCCTTGTGAGGATCACAGCAGCATCGTTCAACACCGAGAGTGAAAAGTTTGATTGTCAGAGTGTGATACGGGATTTGGTATGCATCCCACTGGAAGCACGATTCCAATTCAGCGGCCGAGACTGACTTCTGAGAGGGCTGACCAGATCATCCAGGCAGGCATCACTTTGACAAAGTATCTTGGCATCTTGACGAGGGTTGAGGATTGTGTTGCCGATGAGGCTTCTAGGGCCTGGGCCTTCATGATCACATCTGAGGCGTCTTGGGCCGTCTCGGAGGCCACTCAGGCCGTCTTGGAGCCATCTCGGGCCGTCTTGATTCCATATCGTGCCGGGCCCATGCTTGGGCTCGGGCCCTCTCGAGGCCATCTTAAGCGGCTCGGGCCGTCTCGGAGGCCGCTTGGGCCGTGTTGGTGCCATATCGGCCCGTCTTGATCCCACTGCAGGCTGGGCTCAGGCTCGGGCTCGGGCCTCACGAGGCCATCTTAGTCGTCTTGGGCCCTCTCGAAGGCCTGTTGGGCCGTCTTGGAGCCATCTTGGGTCGTCTTGCCGCCAACTCGGCCGGGCTCTGGGTTGGGCTCGGACCCTCGCGAGGCCATTTTAAGCATCTTGGGCTGTCTCGGAGGCCTCTTCGGCCGTCTTGGACCCATCTTGGGCCGCCTTGATACCATCTTTGGGTGGGCTCAGGCTCGCGAGGGTCCTCGCGAGGCCGTCTTGGGCGTCTTGGGCTGCCCCTGTGTGTCGTGATGCTGGGGAACGGGAGCCCCTCCTCCATAGAATCATAGCATTGGTCCGCAGATCCGTGCATCCCACTTCCGGTGGGTCCACGCTATGAAATAGTAGTATGTATCTGTTCTAAGGAGAAAATGGGATTCACTAAGTTTCCACGCCAAAAAAGGATCTGGACGAATGACATGGGATCCACGATACTCTTGCAAGCACGAAACGGGATCCATTGGGATCCATTGTTAGAAATGCAAGAGAAAATCACTCTCGTCCTAATGACGAGGGAAACTGTACCCCTTCTGCCCTTAGCGTAGGGGCAGTGGTGGCACCATACACGCAGCATGTGAGAGTTGTGGAGGGCTGTTCTGGCCGACTGTCCGAGATGAGTTCTCGGTTGGACGAAAAAGAGCCGATTGGGGGAGCGTGGGTGCGACATCTGTTAAATGCTGCGCGCGCCTGGTTTCGGCCCCGTCGGGCGCCGTCCCCGATGCATCGGCGCCTCTGGCGCCAGGAGGCGACGGAAAATCGGGCATTTGCTTTGGCCGGAAGGCAACGGGTGAAATCTGAAATGCCGTTTCGATGGATTTTCGAGGCTTGAATCTGCAAAAGGTGAATCACGAGACGAGCTGGTTTTCCTGAGCCCTCCACCCCAAGAAAATGCTCCGCAATTGGACGCGTGAGTTGACTTGCGAACCCCACCTCTGCTGTCCCCCCCCCTTCGACCGCCACGACCGGGCCAGCGCCTGGGGCCTCCGACGAGCCCGTGTCGGCCCTCGTGGCATCGCCAGGCGTCGTCCCGGAAGGCCTCGGCGGACAGAGGCACGTGCTCTGGGCACGGGGGGCGAGGCCGGCCAGGCATCCCCAGGGCACCATTCAGCAGGTTGCATTCTGGCGATCGCGAGCATGGATCCGGGGTGCGTGGATTAGCGACGGGTCCCGTTCCCACGGGGAATCGCGGTTTCCTGCCGCCGAGCGAGGCGGCAGCGGCCGCATTCTGGGGAGGGCACCTCCCCCGATCCATGGGCTTGGCGACCGCGCGCCAAGTCCATGGATCGCCAATCCACGTTTGCGCGCCTCCGACATTCAGCAGGTGATGTAAACCCTAAACCCTAAACCCTAACAGTGTGCGGTGGCGCCTTGTATTCGGCCACCTCGCAAGTTGCCTGTCTGGCTCGCAGTCGGGTGGCTAAAGTTCATCTCCAAGCAACGCCAGCGATCTGGAAGCCCTACAACTGGCTTGCCGCTCCCTGCCCTCGTGAGCCGCGCCAGGTCCGTCAGAGTCATAGGGTTGCGTGTAGTGTGCTCGTAAATTATGGCAGTGCCGTAAGTGTGAGAATCCACGGCAGTGGGAAGATCGGCGCTGGCCTCCGTGGTCCTGGCCGCCCGCCCACGGAGTGAGGCAGTAAGGCTCTGTCCAGGTGGATTGCCGGGCGTATGCGCCCTTTTGTGCCATGCTTGCCATGCCTGGTCTTTGGGTCTTGGGGTTGCGCAGCGAGGGTACAGTGGAAGCCCCTGCCAAGAAACACCCTGCTTGTCTCCAGGGTGCCCTGGGTTTCTTGGGTTTCGAAGGATTTTCTGTGGAACGCGTGACGCTCCCACACCACAAATCCATGGACGCCCTGGGGTCTTAGGGTTGGGTTTCTTGTGGAAGGTTTCTTGCGGTCGAGGTCCCACTGTAGGTGACCGGGGGCGCGGAGAGGCAGGAGAGGGAGCGATGGCAAGGGGCGTGGGAGAAGTATCCAGCCACCTGCGGCAAGCTCTGCCATCGTGCCAGCGGCGAGCTCTTTGTGCAGGCGCTTCGTGCACCGTGCAGAAGGCCGTCACAAGGTGGCGCCTCTCGCCACTGTTCCTGGATGGGGCTCGCACGATGCCTACCTGGGCCGTCTTGGGGCTGTCTTGGGATCCTGTGGGGCCGTCTTGAGGCTCTCGAGACCACTTGGTGCCTTCTTGGGCCACCTTGCCCCCTCTCAGCCGTCTCTCGGGGCTGTCTTCGGGGCCTCTTCGGGTGCTCTTGGGCCATCCTGCGGCCCACTTGGGCCGTCCTCGGCCCTCTTGGGTCGTCTTGAGACCCTCTTGGGGCCCCGACGCCTCCGAAGGCCATCGGAAAGTCCCGATGACCGCCAAACATTCTCGGACGAAGCAATCGAGCACGCCGTGCTACTCGCATGCCGTGCTCCTCCTGGGGCCCGCTTCTGGCATGCAGCCCCAGAAAGAGCCCGCGCCCTCCGCCCTGCGCCCGAGCTGTCCCGCGCGGACGGCCCCTCGGCTGCGGATGGCATGGCATCGCCTCCAGACCGAGTCTGGCGGGCGTGTACCTCGAACGGGGCCAGGACGAGGATGAGCCCGTTCCAGAGCGTTCCGGAACGCTCTAAGGAGGCCACGGCATGGCATGGCATCGCTTCCAGACCGAGTCTGGCGGGCGAGCAGCAACATTTGAAGAAGAAACAACGGCATAGACAAAAACGTGTTTCTTTTCCTTCTTCCAAGCATTCGGCAGCGAGCGAGGCGGGGAAGTGAGAAGGATAATGCCATCTGAGAAGGCGGCGGGGCCTCTCAGGCGCCCTCGCGCCTTCTGATTGGTCTTCCGTGCCTTCGGGGAAGGCTAACAAAACGTCTCAGAAGGCCAGGAGACTTCGAAGCCTTCGCGCCTCCTGAGAGGTCTCCCGTGTCTTCGAGGAAAGCTTTGCCTTCTCTCTTCCTTCCTTCCTTCCTTCTCTCTCTCTCTCTCTCTCTGCGCCTCGCGTCCTCGCCGCCACCATTGGGTGATAGAACATGTGGGCGCTTTTTCTATCGCTGTGCTCGCCCCTGTCCGTGGCTGTCGGTCGTTCGCGCTTCCTCCCTTGTTCACCTCCTCGGTCCTCCCTCCTGGCTTGCCCCTTCTTCTCCTCCTCCTCCTCCTCCTCCTCCTCCTCCTCCTCCTCGTTGGGCCTGCGAATTTTCTGGACACGTTCGGGTCAACGACACTGGACCACGACATCTTGGTGTCCAGCGATTTGGGGCAGCAGCCGACTCCTTGTAGCGAGCTCTTGGTGGCGTGTTTGCGCTGAAAAAAATGGTTTCGAGGAAAACTCAGAGCATTTCTCGGAAGGCCAGGGGCTCTCCGAGCCTTCCGAGCAGACCCGCCCCCTGTCACTTCCGCCTGGGCTCGCCGCCGACATCGGTCCATCTGTCAACGGGTGGTTTGGGAATCCTTGGTTTGGCAACTATCGGTGATGTGTCTTGTGGTGAGGAGAACGAGGCCCAGACATGCGACGTCCTGACTTTTTCAGGACGGCGTTCCCGGAAGTCTAGACCCTTCCCCCAGGGCCGGCTTTTCATCCTGAGTCGTTTTTTGATGGTCCCGAGGCCCGGCGAGGGCCCCCCGAGGCCGAAATAGGCCAAAAAAATCCCGTCCTGATTTTTTAACGACGCGATCATGTCTGCGCATCATCACTCCCCCCCCGCTCGCCGCCGAATCACGGGCGAGCAGCCGCGGCTCCCGTTTCACATCCTCCAGAGCCGCCGGACCTCAGGGAGATTGTCGCTCTATCGTTCTGGCTCCTCCTCCTCCTCCTCCTCCTTCTCCTCCTCCCCTCCTCCCCTCCTGCCCTCCTCCCCTCCTCCCCTCCGTCCTCCTTTCCCTCCCTCCTCCCTCCTTCCCTCCTCTTCTCCTCGTGCCCCCCCCTTCTCGTACCCCCCGCCCGAGTTTGCGTCTTCGTCCTGGCTTCGTCTTCGAGGGGCGATCGAGGAACGCCCGACGGGGCCACGACGAGGACTACTCCGTTCCGGAGCGCTCTGAGGAGGCCGCGGCGCCCGATACGTCCTCCAGAGCCGCCGGATCTCAGACACATTCTCGATGTGTCCTCACCCGCTATTGTATCTTCGTCCGAGCTTCGTCGTAGTGCTCGGGGGTGGGCGAGGCTGCTGAACGCCAACATGAGCCGCACCCCCAGCATGATGCTCATCGACATCGCGCAGCTGGACCAGGACACTGGCCGCGGGCCCCCGCCTCCCGGCTCCGCTCGTCTTCCTATGCCGTCCGCGTTATCGTCCGCGCCGTCCTGCGGCTGCCTGCTGCGGCTCCTCATCCTGCTCTGCTCCTCCTGCTCCCAGCGCGCGGGCCGCGTAACCTGGGAGACCAGTAGGCTACGTTCCACGGCCCCATAGGGAACCTGAATGCCAAGTGCCACCCGCGAGCAGGGATTCCTCTAAGCGGCGACGCCCAGGCGGCTTCGGGATAGCCGCGCGTTCCACAGGTCACTCGTGGCTCGCTCGTGCTCTTCGGCGGAGCCATCCGAGCCCCGGGCCCTCCCCGCGGCCATCCCGGCCCAGACCGTTCTGGCTCAGGGGGGCCCGGCACCAGCTCGGCGCCCCTGCCTCTTCGGGCGCGCCCCGCCGAGGGACTCGAGAGGGGCAGGAGGTCGTGAGGATGGGGCGTGCCAAGTCTTTGAATGTTCCCCGCGTGTCCAGCTCGTGATGATGACGATGCGTCCCCAAGCCAAGGGTCTCTGCGCGGGTTTGCCTAGTGCAGGCCGGCTTGTGTGGCGTTCCGGGTATGCTTGGCGGCTCTCTCTTTCCTCATGGCGGTCATGCGTAGCGGACGCGTGGCGCGAGCGTGTGTGCATGTCAGCGTCCGGGTTGTGCGCGGTAGAAGAAGATGTTCCCAGGATTCACTAGACCCCCCGTTTCTCCCAACGGGCAGAAACGGGGGCTGCCAGATACCCTGGAAATCCGGAGACGCATCCTGAGCCCATTCTATCATGACCCCAGTGGGCGGCGACATCCGAAACCTACCCTCGCAAATCAACGATCCAGGCAACTCGATGGGCGTCGGGCGTAGGGTCCGGAATGCGCCGAACACGTGGCGACGGCCGAACTCTACCCCGGCCTCCCATCCATTCAGGATAGCCGACGATTGGAAGGGGGGGGTAGGGTAGGGTTTGGGATTTTTGGGCCGCCACGAGGGTGCGAAGTTAGTCGCGCTTCGCGGTCTGGGTTGATGAGCTTGTTTCCACCATCACCACCATACGTTGGATGGGGGAAGGAGGTGGAGGAGGAGGAGGAGGAGGAGGAGGAGGACCCCCTCCTGCTCCAACTTATGGTGGTGGTGGTGGTGGAGGACAGGCCCATCATGGGTGATTCCACGGCGAGGTGCGAGTCCCGCGTCCTGTTCCGCCGGGGGCGGGGGCGGGGTGGCGCGAGGATGCGCGAAAGCAATCGCGCTTCCGCGAAGCGCGGAGCGCGAAGGCAACCGCCCCGGTCATGTTCTCGTCCCGTGGTCGAGTCGGGGATGTCCCTCCACAGGAGGAGTCTTTTCAAGAACAGTCAAAACAATAGCCTGGGGACGATTTTTGGGGACTATTGCTGGCTCTTTTTGGGCATGATGCTACGCTTGATGTTGTTGGTTTTCTGGGGGAACCCGCTTGTAGGAGGACCTATATGGTGAAACAGAGCTCGGCGGATCCATGGAGCATGGGGACGAGGGGAGGAGGAGGAGGAGGAGAGGAAGGAGCAGGACTGCACTGCACTTGACCGGACTGGACCTAATCCTTTGGAGGCTGGCGCCCCCGCGCGCGCGCGCCAGCCTCGCGGCGCTCCCTCGGCGCCGCGAGGCTCCGCGGCGCGCCTCTGGCCGCACGGCTCTGCCGGCGGAGAGCGCCCGTCTGGCGGGGGGGCCGCGCGGCTCCGCTGCCGGCGGGGAGGCGCTCGCGGGCGCGCCGCCTGCAGCCGCCCCAGACATGATCGCGTCGTTATAAAACCAATCAGGACGGGAGGTTTTTGGCCAACTTCGGCCTCGGGGGACCCTCGCCGGGCCTCGGGACCGTCAGAGACCTGCTCAGGATGAAAAGCCGGCCCCAGGGGAAGGGGTCTGGGCTTCCGGGGACGCCGCCCTGACAAAAATCAGGACGTGGCATGTCTGGGGCTGCGTCGCCGCCCTTTGCGAGGGCCGCCGCAGGAAGAGGTCGCAAGACGGGTCGAGCAGAACCACCTGTCGGGCGATCGCAAGCATGGATAGGCGGGGCGTGGATCAGCGACGGGTCCTGTTTCCACAGCGGCGGATTTCCGCCGCGGAGCGAGGCGGCACCTGCCGCATTTTGGGGAGGGCGCCTCTGGGGGGCGATTTTTCGATTATTGTTTTACTATTTCTGGATATGTTTTGACTATGTTTCCTTTTCCTTCCAAAGGCCGCCTGTAGGAGGACATGCCCGATCTAACTCAAGACGGGTCGAATCGAAACACCTGGGGGCGCTCCAGAGAGGGCTTCGCCTTCAAAGGTCGAAGGAGTGGCCATCGCTTCCTCGGCGGAGTGCCTGCGGAAGCCGGACGCCGGCGAGAGTACAGCGAGGGTGCCTCCGCCGGCGGAAGCTCGGAGGAAGCCGGCGGGAGTAAAAGATCAAGCAGTGGCGAGGCGTCACGGCTGGCCTCAATGCCCACCAAAGAATGTTCTAATAACCTTTTGTGGTCTGCGCGAAATGTTCTTCGAGCACTTCTGGTCGATATCGTTTTGTTTAAAAGCACATCGGGTTTTATGTGTAAAGAACAGTGGTTTGTGCTTAGAACAGCTTTGGGTTCTGAGAACAGGTCGTGGTAGACATAGGAATGCCAGGACTGTCGGTCCCTGTTCGAAAAAGATGCGCCCCCAAGAGATTCTGCCATCGTCATTGTCAGGAGAACCAGCAGTGACATAAACATGAAAGCTCGGAGGTCCGCGCGGATCGATGTCCTGGATCGGCGCTGGGACCTTCAGTGGCGCGCGCTCCGCGCGCCAGGGAGGGGGGGTCCAGCGCCGATCCGAGAAATCGTCGCGGACCTCCAAGTTTTTATGGTTGCGTCATTGTTTGTTTCCCTTGTTGCCGCAGAGAAATGCACATGTCACAGGGGTCACTCGCCAGTAGACAGCCAATTCGTGCGGTTGGCACGCCGCGGGCTGGCGCGGGTGCGCTAGCGATCAGCGTCGTGAGCGCGGGCGCTGTACGGTAGGTTCGCGTCGTGTCGGCGCGGCGACGAGCCCGCCACCAGTGGGCGTTCACGGTTGAACGCCGCCAGTGGTCCCAGAGTCGGCCAATATGCAACGATCTGGCGATCGAAAGGCTGCCGATCGTTCGAGATTGAACGATCCACGCGGTGTCAGAAGCCAACGCAGGGGGGTCGTCACGACACGGACCTGCCGTGTCCACCGTCATCCAGGCAGCGTTCTCAGCGGCGGGCAGGCCCGTGCTGGCTCAGGGAGCCGAGCGGAGTGCAATGGCCCACGCGGTCAACAACCCCGCTCTGTATTGGGCGTCCGCTCTTGTTTCCCGAGCTCCGTCCGAAAGGCCTCGTACGTCGCGAGCTTCAGCTTCCACCTCCGAGCGCGGTGGCGCTCGCCGTGAGCTTACAGAGTCGCGGCGGGCGTGCGCGGAGAGGCAGCAGCGGCTCTGGCGCGCTGCCGCAGTGTGGCTGCAGATGGTCCAGGCCTCGCGCATGGGGCTCGGGCCGACCCTCCGATGGGCGAGAACGAGGTGCGGCTGGCCGCAGGCTCCCAGGCAGTACTAGCACGGTAGCGCGTGTCCTCGTTGTTTTCAGATCGGCGGTTCCATGATGGGGTTTTTGGGATGGGGACCCGAGGATAGGAACGGATCCAAGGGTGGATTCGCGTTGTTTGAGACACCTCGTCCTCAGGACCCCATCCCTCAGAACCCCATCTTTGAACCACCGATCATAGGTGGCTGGCGCCACCGCGTCGATGGCTTCCATAAAGGCGAGCAGCCAGGCAACCGAGCATCACGGGTGAGACAAGCCACTGGGCGTGATGGCGGGCAACGTTATTGGTTCTCCATTGCGCGTCCCCGTCGATGCGCTGGAGGCCGAAGCAAGAGTTCGAGTGAATGCCCCATGCAGATGGCTGGGCAGCAGCGCTGGACCTTTACAAGGGATTGCCTCGGCAAAGCACCCCTGGTAACAGCAATGGTGAAGAGGCGGGTCGAGGAGCAAGAGGTCGGCGAGAGGAAGCGCGTATGTCCAAGTCCTCCTAAGAATTCTTAGGACCGCTGACGGGCGGGACAAAGGGTGAGGCCACGGCCATGTGCACCTCGGTGGTTGTTCTACAAGAGATCATGGCCGTCTGGGCCAAAGATGTAGCCTGCAGTGAGTCGAGAGCGCGATTCCTGAATGCACTGTGAGGGGGCCTCAGGCGAAACGGCTGCTGGAGAGGGCGATCTACGGCGGCGGTCACGGTTTCCCGTCCCCCCTGTGGCATTTGTCTGTGGACCTACGACACCAAACCTTTGCACTTGCGCCAGTCAGCGCCCCTGTGAGCGACGCAGGTAAACGGGGTCGACTGCGCCGACACTGGCGCGTAAGCTGTCCGCATAAGGTCGCGCGTGAGCGCCGTCGCCTCCGATGTGGCGTGCCACGTTGGCGGCGCGCATAAACCACCGCGTAAGGTCGCTATGCGATTTCGCGCAAGACCCGCTTCTCGGCGTCACCCCAACATGTTAATACTGTGTGTGTCGCCCCCCCAGGGGCGACGCGCGCACCGAGAAATCTTATAGTATATGCGTCGTGGCGGGCGCTTACTGGCCACACCGCTCGGAAAACTCTACATATACACAATACAAGATGCGTATACTAGATTTTCGGGTCGGACGCGCGCCTCCCATGTAGCTTCTGCAGAGCACCGCGCACGCCCCGCTGTCGTGCTGGGAGCAGCGCAGCGGTGCGCGGAGCGCCACCCTCGTGCCCCGCCAGGGTCTTCGGGGGCGAGTGCGGTGGTCTCGTGCCGTGCCGAGTCGGCAGGGGGCCCCGCCCGAAGCGTGCAAGACGGAACGCAGCCAGTGGCCCAGAGTCGGCGAATCTACAATTAAGTCGGGCCTCTACATCAGGAAATTCCAAAATAGTAAAAAAAAATATGGGAACGCGTTTCCTAACATATTTGAATCTTTTTAAAAAGATATGTCTGGTCAATTCTTTATTCAAAAATCCTCCTGCAGGAGAACATGCCCGACCTAAATGCACAGTGGAAACCCATGCCAAGAAACACCCTGCTTGCATCCAGTGTGCTCTGGGTTTCTTGGGTTCCGATGGTTCGGCTGTGGAGAGCGTGACATTCCCCCACACCAGACATTGGCAGACTTCCTGGGGTCTCTGGGTTGGGTTTCCTGTGGCACGGGCTGTGCTGCCCTTTGGCCCCTCCGGCCACCGAGCCCGGGCTGTCGGTCCGAGGCCTCTCGAGGCCCTTTTTGCTCCGCTTTTGGGCGGTCGTGTTAAGTCGGGCATGTCCCTCCACAGGAGGAATATTCAAGAATAGTACAAAAAAACAAGTAGTCAGGGGACGTTTTCTTTGTTGTTTTAAAGTGTGTTTGGGTAATTTTTGCGTACTTTTCATTTTTCGTCCCAAATTCCCCTGCAGGGGGACAGGCCCGATCTAACGCTCGTGGCTTCGACAACAAGTCCTCTGGGAAGCGCCCGTGGGGAAGCACGGGCGGCACGCCGCGGTCCCCGAGACATGCAAGCGAATTTCGGGTCGGGGTCCCCTCATGCTCAGTGCTGGGGGCGGAGGGCTCAAGACTACAACCCAGACATGATCGCGTCTTAAGAAAATCAGGACGGGAGGTTTTTGGCCAATTTCGGCCTCGGGGGGCCCTCGCCAGGCCTCGGGATCGTCAAAAAACGACTCAGGATGAAAAGCCGGTCCTGGGGAAAGGATCTAGACTTCCAGGGACGGCGCCCTGAAAAAATCAGGACGTCGCATGTCTGGGAAGGGACATGAGTGCTTTCCAACTCGTGCCTCGCGGTGCGGGGGCGGATACGGAACGATCGGGCGGTCGAACACCGCCGATTCTTCAGGGCTGGACGCTGCGCGCGGCGTCTGCCACCAACGCTGGGGTCGCTGCGGCACGAGCCTGCTGGAGCTGAGCGGTGGTGCTGTGCCGAAGTTTCCGCCCAGGACTGATCGAGCCTCTTGCGGACTCCATCGTCAGCGGGCCGCGGCACCAGGAAACATCGTGATGCACTGGCTGTGCGCCAGCACGCCGCCGAAGGACCCTCCCTTGGGCCATGCCGATGCTCTCGGCTGCTGGCCTCAGGGAGGCGCACGGAGTTGACGCCTGAAATGATCGGCCAGCTCGGTGAGCCCTTCGCCGCTGCTGGCAGGCTTGGCAGCAAGCGCAGACAGCATACGGCCCCGCTGATGATTTGGAGCCAGCAGCCAGAGGCCGTCAGCAGCACGGACGGGTTGCCATTTTGCCTTCCCCGGAGCGGTTTCTGCTGCGCGGGTCTCGGGAGGGCTGGCGGATGTCTGCGCTGGCCGAGATCTTGGTCGATCTGAGTCAGCTAATTAGGAGATGTCACCGTCGGCGTTTCGGGGGAGCGCGCCGATGTCGGCCAGGTCCGGAGTCCTGGAAGGGGGCTCCAAAACTTCGCGTTCCCCGATCTCGCCCTTGCGAGCAGCGCCGACGTCGATAATTCAGGGCCGACGTCGATAAGTCAGGACCGCGCGCATATCTTGTTTACAGCTGTACCGTGTATCGTGTCGCGGTCTCATTGGGGCCTGGAGCGGGAGGGGGCGCAGGCGGCAGCAGCAGCGGCATGAGTTAGCGTCGCACACAGGGGGGTATGGGTGAGGGGGGAAGGCTTCTTTGGAGGAGGCTGGTTCTTAGAGGGCGCGGGCCTTGCCCACAGAGGTACGGCTGGCGCCTTCTGAGAAGCAGCCTCCTTCTAAGAAGCCGTCCTCCCCTGTACGCGCCGCCGAATGAGGAGGAGCAGCAGCAGCAGCAGGAGCAGACGCGGCAGCAGCGGGAGCGGAGGAGGAGGAGGAGGAGGAGGAGGAGGAGGAGGAGGAGGAGGAGGAGGAGGAGGAGGAGGAGGAGGAGGAGGAGGGAGGAGGAGGAGGAGGAGGAGGAGGAGGAGGAGGTGGAGGATGGAGGAGGATGGAGGAGGAGGAGGAGGAGGAGGAGGAAGAGGAGGAGGAGGATGGAGGAGGATGGAGGAGGAGGAGGAAAAGTCATCAGCAGCAGCAGCAGGGGCAGGAGTGGCAGGAGCAGGAGCAGTGCCTTGAGCAGCAGCAGCAGCAACAGCAGCAGCAGCAGCAGCAGGGACATGTCTGCTTCCTCGCGCTCGGCTGCGCGCCGGCCGCCACCCAGGCATGCTTGCCATACGGCCGCGTCATGGCCACCCTTTCGTGGCACAGCATTTCTCATGCGCTGAGTGGGTGTTGCGTGTTCGGGCCGTGTCTCGACAGCAGCAGGGAGTAGGGGAACGAATAATTACATAAACATAAAAATTCGGAGGTCTGCGCGGATATCTGGGATTGGCGCTGGACCCCATTCCCTGGCGCGCGGAGCGGGGTCCAGGGTGGATCCGAGAAATCCGCGCGGACCTCCGAGTTTTGACGTTCATGCCATTGTTCCTTCCCCTGTGGAGGGGACCAGCAAGATCAGCGGCGAGGCAGGAGCCACGGGAGCAAGTTCCGGATGCCGCGAGCGGCCCCCTCTCCGTGCCCGAGGACTGCCACGACCACGAAGCCGAGCTTGAGCAGCTCCAGGAGCAGGAGAAAGAGCGCCAGAGGCGGGGGGGGGGGGGGGCAACGCGCACGCATGCGCTTGAGTTCCCTTCTCTGCATCGTCATGACCATTTGTCCTTGCCTCTGCCTGTCGCTCTGCTTCTCCCGCGCCACTGTTCTGGGTTGTTTGTGTTATCGATATATACATGTGTATGTATGTATACATATACATGTACTTATATACAGCTCTCTCTCGCTCTTTACATATGCACAACTATGTATCTCGCTTGCTCGCTATAAGTATGTTGGCATGTACGGATTTACTACACACGGTGGCCCCGCGATTGTAGGTAAGCATGAGGGGCGGCGGGGTCGTCGGCGCGCGACAGCTGGCCCGAGAGAGTGCCAGGCGGGGGGCTGCTCCTCTCTCCGCGCGGGGGGGGGAAGAGGAACAAATCCGAGTGCTGGAGAAGGGGGCGGCTTCTCTTGGACGCGCGAGAGGCGAAGAGAGAGACTTGAGTGCCCAGAGGGAGGTGCTCTTTCTCAGCCGCGCGGGAAGGGACAAGTGAAACATCCGAGTCTAGGGGGGGAGAAGAGGAAGGGAAAAGAGAAACTGGAGTGCCAGGGAAGGGGGGGGGGCTGTCCCTCTCCCCGCGCGGGAGAGGAGAAAAACAACATCTGAGCTCCGGGGGGTGGGGTTCTCCTCCAGCGCGCGAAAGGGGAAGAGAGAGCCTGGAGTGCTGGGGGAGGGGCTCCCCCTGTTCCCGCGCCGAAAGGGAAGAGGAACTAATCCAGGATGCTGGGGATGGGATGCCCCTCTTCCGGCGCGCGAGAGGGGAAGAGAGAGACTGGAGTGCTGGCGGGGAGAGCTCCCTCTCTCCGCGCGGAATGGGAAGTCCGAGTGCAGGGGAGGGGGGCGCTACTCCTCAGCCTGCCAGGACCCCCCCCCTTCTGGAGGGAGCGATGCCGAGCGACCAATCCCATAGCCACCGTGGGGGGGGTGGCGGGGGGGGGGCCGACGAGGAGGATCGGGGGAGGGGTGCTCCGGAGCGCCCTTGGGGGGAGGAAGGGGACTCCCCCTCTGCCCGCGCGGAACGGAACGGGAAGAGGAAACTATCCGAGTCTTTGGAGGGGGGCTCTTCCTCCGCCCGCCAGGAGGTGCACCCCCCCTCCCTGGAGGGACCGATACCCAACGATTAACCACTCAGTTACTGTGGGGGGGGTAAAAAAGAGGAGCACCTCCGCCTTCCCCCCCGCACAGGAAAAAGAGGGGGAGGCGGAATGAGCTGCATTCCCGCTTCCCCCCCCTTTCCACACCGAGTCCTTGGGGGGGGAGCTTTTCCTCCGTCGCGCGAAAGGGGAAGAGAGAGACTGGAGTGCCGGTGGGGAGGGAGGAGGGTGCTTTCCCTTCCCCCGCGCAGGAAGGGAAACAAGAACAGCTCCGAGTCCTGGGGGGGGGGGGGCTGTTCTTCCTCCAGCGCGCGAGAGGGGAAGAGAGAGAGACTGGAGCGCCAAGGGGGGGGTGCTCGCCCTCTCCCCGCGCGGAATGGAAATTCAAAAAGAACAAAAAGCCCAGTGCAAAAGGGGGCGGCGTGCTCTTACTCCGTCTGCAAGGAGGTGCCCGCCCCCTTGCTGGAGGGAGCGATGCCCAACGACCATACAACCATGCCGCCACCGCGGAGGAGGGGGCCGACATGGGAGGAGCCCCGCCCCCGGACACGAAAGGGAGTGGAGGGAGCGGAAAGAGGTGCCCCCCCTTTTTCCGCGCCGAGTCTTAAGTCGGCCTGGCCTGTCCCTCTACAGGGGTAATATTCAAAAATAGTAAAAAACAGTCTGGGGACATTTCTTTATCAATTTGGAATGCATTATTTGCATTGTTGGTGTACTTTTGTTTTTTGTCCAAACTCCCCCTGTAGGAGAACACGCCCGACCTGAGCCTAAGCCGAGTCATTGGAAGGAAGGGGGTGCTCCTCCTCCGGCGCGCGGAAAGGGAAGAGAGAGGCTGGAGTGCCGAGGGGGGGAGGGGGGGGCTCTCCCTCTCCCCCGCGGAAGGGAAAGGAACAGATCCGAGTCCTGGGGAGGGGGGGGGTGCTCCTCCTCCGGCGCGCGAGAAGCGAAGATTGAGACTGCAGTGCCGGGGCGGTGGGGAAAAATCCGAGTGCTGGGGGGGGGGTCTTCTCCTCCAGCGCGCGAGAGTGGAAGAGAGAGACTGTAGTGTCAGGGGGGGGGGCGGGGTGCTGCTCCTCTCTCCGCGCGGGGGGGGGGGGAGGAACATATCCGAGCCCAGGTCTGGCCACGAGCGGCCCGTGCCTGCGCCGGCGGCGAGCATGCAGCGGGCTCGCCTGCCTCGCGCGGCGCATTGATCGGACTCTGGGCCGGCGGTTCCTGGCCGCGCGAGCGCCGCCACCGCCGGGGGCTAGTAGCTCCTAGCCCGGAGTGCCTCTGCTGCCAGGCCGACGCGTCGAGTCACGCGGGCACCGTTGGCGCCAGCGCCCCGGCCTCGCCAGCCAGGCCGCTGACCGAGAGCCTAGCGGCGACCCGGCGGCGCCTCACTGAGGCGGGTCCCAGATGAGCGTGCGCCGGGAAGCCCCCTGCTGGAATGCCGTCGAGCTCCTACGGCATCCCCTTGGTGCCCCGCCGCCCGAGGCCATGCCGCCGGCGGGGCGCGAGGAGGTTTTCGATCGGGGTCTCACCGATCTCCCTTGGCAGGGCACTGGTTACCCTGGTTGTTCCGCTTGCGCCGCCGACGCGCCCGAGATCACGCAGTGCGCATGGGCGGTGGCGATGATCTCACCGTCGGGGTGGCCGTTGCGAGCGCGATGCGGCAGCCCCCCTCGCCGTCTCCAGACCGCGGCGCGGGCGGAGCGGTACGCTGGCTTGTCGGTGCTGCGCGACGGGCCCTTCGTCACGTGCATCGCGTCCCACCACCTCAGCTCCGCGCGCGAGGGCAAGCGCTGAAGCCCTACCGATGCAGAGGCGCGCGGGCGGCACGCCCGCATCTGGCATCCGCCAAGCAGCAGGCCAGCGGCCGGGGCGCCGCCAGACTTCGGCGGGCGCCGTCGCCCCTCAGCGCCGATCAGGCCATGGAGCGCGGGGTCCGGCTGATCGACTGGGTCGGGAACGCCTGGGCCGACTCGTTCGCGGCCCTTGCCGTGGAGAGGATCCATTTGCCACGTTGTTTCTCTCGCGGGTTGCAGCTGCGGCTCGAGCAGGCGCCCTGGACGCATCGCGAGTTTTTGGCGTGGGTGGCGAGGCACATATCACTTACAGCATTAGGGCCCTCCTGCTGGAGCTCCTCGAGTGCCGAAGCCACCGCCGCAGGCTTCGGCGTCGCTCTCCGTAGAGCACGAGTGGGTCGACGACGGCGACGGCCACGTGGCCCGTTGTGAACGATGCAACAGCACGGCCAAGGCGGCACGGTGGAAGCAGGCCTTGGACGCCCAGCCGTGCAACCGCTCCGTGCTCGGCCAGCGCCGAGACTAGAGTGCCGAAGGGGGGGGCTCTCCCTCTCCCCTCGCCGAATGGAATGGGGAAACAATCCGAGTGCTGGGGGGTGGAGGGGGCGCTCCTCCTCCGCCTGCCAGGAGGTGCCCCCCCCCCCCCCTGCATTCTCGATCCTGCACGGAAAAGAGGGGGTGCGGGAGGGGTGTGGGCGTGCCCTCCCGCGGTGGCTGAGCGATTGGTCGTCGGGCATCGTTCCTTCCGATCTATTCGTCCACGCCGCGCTGTCGAGACTCAGGAGTCACGCTCCGCTTCTTGGACTTCCCCTCGATTTACTTTGGGATCGCGCGATCATTCGAAAGTTCCTCGCAATTCATGTTGGATTGACGCTGCAGCGACCTGGGCCCGCCCGCCCGAACCGGCCGCCTGGTGCTGCCGCTGGCACTCCTGCTCCCAAACCCCTCCCCTTGCAGATCTCTCTCGTGCTCCATCCGTTCCCTCTCCCTTGCCTCTTCCCTTGCGTCACTTGGCATGTCGCTGCGCGGCGCGGCGCAGCGCCGAGGAGCACGACGCAGCCCTCACCGTTGAGATCTCCAGCGTTCGCACTGCCCATCGCCCAACTGAGGTGCTCGGAGGCGCCCCCAGGCCTCGCAGATCCCAATCGCCTTCCGGGTCGGCCGACCGTGGAAACGCACGACGCGAACGCGCGACGCAAAAACGCTAATGCGCGGAAGCACGACGCGCCAACTCCACGCGGGAACGCTACGCCAATTCGCTACGCGAAATACACTACGCAGTAAGGTTGCGGAAAAATGCACGACGCGCATTCGTTGCGCAGACGCACTACTCACATGCACCACGTGGCGCGCCCGTGGCAGGTCATCGCGCGGCGTGGCGCAGCGCGGAGGAGCACAACGCAGCCCCTGTTGCAGTGGCATCGCCATTGATCTCCCCATGGCCAGTGCCCATAGCCCAATGGAGGTGTTCGGCAGCGTCCTCGGGCCTCGCGACGCGAAAGCATGGCGCCAAATCGATGCGCGGAAGCATTGCGCGCAAACTCCACGCGGAAACGTTACGTCCATCCGCTGCGCGAAATACGCTACGCAAGGACACCACGCAATTATTATGGAAGCACACGGGACGGCGTGCCCACCAGCACGTCATCACGCGGCGCGGCGCATCTCCGAGGAGCGCGACGCAGCCCCTGGCGCAGTGGTATTACCATCGACATCTTCAGCACTGCCCCTGCCCATCGCCCAGCACTGCCCCTGCCCATCGCCCAACTGAGGTGCTTGGAGGCGCCCCCAGGCTTCGCGGTTCTGAATCCCTTTCCAGGTTCGCAGGTCGGCCATGGAAACGCATGGCGCGAACGCGCAATTCGAAAACGCTACGCGGCACCGCGGCGCGCTATCTCCACGCGCAAATGTTGCGTGCATTCGTTGCGCGAAATACACTTCGCAAGTGCTCCTCGCAGATACAATTCGCAAATCCAATACGCAAATGCGTTGCGCAACACTACCCGGCGCGCCCCCAGGCAGTCGTTGCGTGGCGCGGCACAGCGTAAGGGAGCACAATGCAACCCCTGGCGCAGTAGCATCACCATTCATATTTCCAGTTTTTCCAC